TTAATATTTTTTAAAACTAAATTAAGTTAAAGTTAATGATTTACAAAATTAATGTATAGTTAAATTATAAAAATTCCATGAATAAGAAACTAACTCAGTTAAAACTTGCGTTAAGATTAAATTAACTAAAGTTAAATTAAAAGTTAATTTTAAAAAACATCATTTATATTAAATTAATTAAATTAAAATGTTATTTCAAATATAATTATTTTAAATAAAAAATTACAAAAGTTAATTTAATATTTTATTTATAAATTAATTAGTTTATACAAAATAATAAAAAATATTTTTTTTATATAAAAATGTTTTTCGTTTAAATAGATAAATTTTTAATTTAGAAGGAAGTTAATTAGTTAAAGTTTATATATATTTAAACATAATTGGTTGAAATTAATAGTTAACTTATTTAAAATTAATAAAATTAAGCGAATGACTGAAATTATCAGTCATAAATGTATTAAACACATACATTGCATTTACATTTTTAATATTTTATTTCTTTTTTGTTTTTTTCTTTATGGATTGCATTTTGAATAATAAAATATTAATAAACTAATATAGTGTATTATAAGTTATTGTTATTTGATATAAATATTTTGTAGTATTTGATTGGCCAATTTGAAGAACGAATTTTACTTAATTGACTAATTAAAGAATGCTTCAAATCATTTATTATAGTATTAAGTACATCCCGTAATTATACCGTAATAAGTAAATACAAAAATTATACGTTTTATTATTTTATTTATTTTATCTATTTTATCTATTTTATTATATGGTACATAAAACATATATTTGTAACTAATAACATTTGTAACTAATAACAATTTATAATAACTAAATTAATTCTCTTAACAACAATTATTTGAGATTAAAGTTAATGTCAAAGGTATTATACATATAGTTTAATATGTATTTTACATATGATATACACAATCATACATATACGATATGTAGGAAACCTCTAAAATGCGTATCAAATCCAATTCTATTTTTAAGTTTTTCTATACGATAATTTTTTTAGGTTCTTTTGTTCCCACCGCTGCTAAAGTTAAAACCGCTACCATCGACACTACCGCTGCCAAAACCGCCACCATCACCAATGATAATACCAATGTAGGTATTACTGCCAACGCCAACACCACTAACATCGCCACCATCGACGCTAATACCGCCACTGCCACCAATGCTAATGTCGCCACCGCTATCGACATCGCCAATATTCACACAGTTGATTCACGTGAATGTGATGAAACAGAAAGAAGAGCTCAAGAAGGTGAGAAGGGAAAGGAGAAAGTGGAGAAGGAAAGTGAAGATTTTATGTTTCTGTTTTCTGAAAACAAATCTGTGCATTATTTCATTCATTTTATTGTATATGATATATAAAACATATATTTGTTAACTAATAACAGTTATAATAACTAAATTAATTCTCTTTAAAAAAAAACAAAAATGATTTGAGATTAAAGTTAATGTTAAAGGTATTATACATAGTTTAATATATACTTTACGTATCATACATAATATATATTATACGCAATCATATCATACATACGTAGAAAACCTGTAGAATGCGTACGTATCAAATCCAATATCTTCAAGTTATCAATATCCGCAGAATAATTTTTTTAGATACTATTGTTCCCACCACTGCCGCTGCCAACACCGCCACCATCATCAACATCGACCCCACCATTGCCAATGCCGACATCATCGACACTGCTACTGCCAACACAGACATCGTCACCATCGACACCGCTGAAGATGAAAGAAGTGTTGAAGAAAGCGAAGAGGAGGAAAGTGACGATTTTATGCTTGTACTTTCTGAAAACAACTCTGTACATTTCCGTCAGTCAGCGTTGTCAAACACTACGAAAAGTATTAATGAACATTCAGACAACGATTTTCTCAAAGATAAGCAAAAGCTTTTACGTGCATTTCGCACGGCTAAAAAGCAAGACAAAGGTAGCAAATTTGTTACAACGTTATGCAACGTTTTATGGACTCGTGAGGAATTAGCGGAACGTTGTGTAAAACAATCGCGCATATGCGAACGACGTTTATTGAGCCCCGTTAAGGTAAAATTTATTAGAAGTAAATTTCTAAATTGGATAAAACAGAAAGATAAAAATGTTCACAAAGAACAGCGTGCTTTTTCCGTATATCTTTCACGAGCTATTTTCACAGCTCGCTTAAAATATTTGCGCGCACAAAGGAGAAAAAGATAAAAATAAAGTAAAAGTCGCTTCCAATAACTAATCATGTTATTCATTTTTATTTTTTATTCTGGATCGTTTTTACACACATCACAGTTTAAAATATTGTCAGAGACTTTTTTGGATTAAATTATGTGAGTTTTAAAAAAACATCGTACAGATCGTGCATGCCTAATATCCTATATCACGATTAACGCGCCACAAGAGAAAAGTACGACGTGAGTCGTTTAATTTTCGTTAAGTATTTGTTTTTAAAATTAATTTTCATGAAATTTTTCACAATAGTGGTAGAGTTTTGCCGTAATTAAAAATAATAAATATTGTACAGATATATTGTAATTAAAGATGTAAAATCCATACCAATGGAACTGTGTTAATTCTCACCCAGACAGCAGCGTCATGTATCTTTCACGTCACTTTTTGGTCAGTTGTGACATCAGTTATCCTTTTATAATGACGTCAAAATGACGCGAAAATCACCGGTATAAGCCAGCCCATAGACGTCATAATAATACATGAAAACGACGTTATAAAAGAACGTGGAAAATCGTATCTATATATTATTACATTGCATTATTTCCATATAAATTTACATTGTTAATTACAAAAATGCAATTAATACGAATCTGGGCACGCCAAGTTTTTTCTTTATTATATCCCATTTGTTAGATTTTATTTCGTCAAAATTGCAAATATCTTCTCAAACATTGCGTCATTGTTATGCTTTGCAATTAAGAATGACAAATTAAAATAAAAACGAGTAATCGCAGACCGTATATTTTGTACTGCCTGCTGTATGATTTAGGTAATTCAGTAATTGGTTTAATTAATAAATGTTCCGTAATAATAAAAACATTTCGAGAACAAGCTTATAAGAGCGGTAAAATTCACGATTACGTATTCTTAATTATATAAAAATACTTAGCACTGATGAATCTAAAAATATAATAAAATTTCAATGTAATATTCACAATAAATTCATTATTACTTTTTGGCAATATAACATTTAAATTAAATTTGTTATTACTTTTAAATTGTTTACCTTATTCAATCTAGCAGCGATAAAAATTTATATTTGCACATCGCGGGAAGTTTTTTCTATTTCAAACGCATAGATTGAAATAGAAAGACTATTCAACAATAGAAATACAAATTAAAGTACATACCGCTTAAGTTTTATTTAATAAACTAGACCTAAAGGAAGAAAGGCTATGGTAGTTGGCACGGTAAACGTTGTGCAATAAAACAAATATTTTTTTAAAGTACATTTAATTAATCCCTGTAAGAATAGAATATTTTTATTTAAGAATATAACTTTTGGACGTTTTGGCTCAAATTTAAAGCCATTTTCAGCGAGAATAAATAAAGCAATTAATTAATCAAAAGGCACGCAGATTTCAGATACTGTCCAGAGCCCGTTGCATAACTGGATCTTGTTATATACGCCTAATGAACGAAATAAATTAAGAATCGTGCACTCACATTTACTTTACATAAAAATATTTTAAAATAATAACTCACCGGTAATCGTATTACTTTTGATATTCGGAATACCGTATAAGGTCGTCAAGTAATGAATAAATAAATAATGTATCGTAGTTAATAATTGTATAAAATGTTAATAAATAATTCCGTGTGGTTAAAAGTAATAAGAAAATCCGTGCTCAAATTTAAAAAGTAAAAGTGTATAAGTAAATGATCTTCACAAATTTGTCTCTGGACTCACTCGACGGAATGTCGAGTATAGTATACAAATCTGTTTATAAGCTATAAATAACAATGTCATAGGCAAGGTCGAGAAGATCTGCGTCGGATTGTAAATTGAGACTGTATTTTTGTCTTTTATAATGTATAGCATTTCAGAAATATAATTGTTTATTATAATTTTTTTTTTTTTGATATCCAGAATTTCTACATCATCCCACATAAAATCATGACTGCACTGCAACCTGTGGTCTGTAATAACGGATCGTTGTATTTTTCTTAATATGGTTCCTGTGTTCCGGTATTATTGTGTGTAATTGTTTACCCGTCCAATGTAGGTTGCATCGCAGTAATTACATTTAATTCCATATATAGATAAAAAAATAATTAATTTTTAAAAATAATTAATTTTTAAAAATTTATGTAAGGTACTATTTTTTATATTCAAATCATTCTATATAATTATATAATATAACAATATCAGTATTTTTCACAATTTCTTCAGAGCTATGGATTCAATGTATTCTATAAGATCGGAAGAGCA